GTCCAGTTGCTGCCAATGTCGACTGAGTGTATTAAAATACTCATTGACTGAGAAATCACCTTGTCGCAGGTCATGGAGTAAGCTCTTGATCTCAAATATTGCAAACGTATTGTCCATATTTGAGTAGGTTTTCTTCACTGCATCCCACATTTCCTTAGCAGTGTCATAGTACATGAAATTTCCTCCAATTTCATTAGTCATGGTGTTGAGCAACCATGACATGACTAAACTGTTTTCCATTTGCCATCCTGTGATGTAACCTTCCTTCCCTTTTCCCTGAAAAAAGATCTTAACAGATTGTACCCATTGAGGGTAGTTCTAGCCATTCAACTTGTGACCAGTGATAGGAAGAGCAGGTCCTTTGACCAAACTGGTGGCCGAACCTTCTGCCTTGTTCTCTCCTATGGTTGGTTGTGCTAGGTTAGGGATGGTTCAGATCGAGCTCTGATACCATGCGGAAAAATACGAAGTATATTTTTCTTATTTGGAAAAAATACAAAAGAGGTATAAATAGAATACAAGGAAATAAAACTGTACACTTAATCTATCCTTGAAAATCAGGGAAATAATTCTCCCTATAAATGTTGTCCCTAAATAAGGAAATAAAACTGATCTTATTAACATTAAATCCTATTATGGGCTGTACAAATCAGAATGGGATGATTCTGATTTATATGTGCTGATCTCCAATAGATTCTGATTGATATGCGCTGATCTCCAACAATATTCAATACAGTGTCAATTGTTAGCTAAGGTTGATTTAACGAATTGAAGTGTTTAATTTTTTTGTTTTACCATTACAAAGTTAGAACAATATAGTTGATTTTATCTTATTTTAGAATGGTCTTTGTAAGCAATTAGTTTGGATGTAATTACTTACCAAATCTCTTGAAATAACAGACATCAACAATAGAAATAGCATGTTACTCATTTGCAAGCTCTGCAGGAATTTGGATCCTCACACGTTTTTCTGCTAAGCTATATTCATTCATGTTCTGAGTGTAAGTTACTAAAATGAAACAGAAATTTTGCCTTTTCAATAAGTTGGATGTAACTTAGTTTTTCTTAAGCTAGTTTATAAAGTTATAGGCTTCACTTATTTTATATTGACCATAGTTTTTCTTAAGCTAGTTTTATAAAGTTATAAGCTTCACTTATTTTATATTGACCATACAGCTTTACCAGCTTATTGACAAAAAGTAAAATATAATCTCCTAAGTAAGCATTAAACTTGAGTTACTGAACACATTTTATGTAATCGTATAAAAAAATCACATGAGAGCTGACAACCTGTTTTGATTATATTCGTCATGAACTTGTTATCGAAAAAGTTAATAAGACTTGTAAGAAAGTCATAGATCACTTTTTAAAGCTTAATTAAGTGCCTATTTAAGTGCTTAAATGATAAAATAAGGCTTGGTTTTCAAAAATATGTGCAATCTGTAGTTTGAACCATTCAACTTGTTAAAACAGTGGTATGATGCATGCCTAAAGTGTTTCTTCTGTTTCACATGAGATATCATGTGATGGTTGCCAAATTCTCTTAACATTATCTATTATATATCAAATTACTGGTCTAGTGAATGATGTACCAGAATTAGCTGAAAGTCTTGTGATAAGTGTTGTCAAAAAATGGTTATGGTGGCACTATGGCGGGTAAGGATGGCGTTTCTTAACCAAACTGCTACGACCATGGCAGAATATGGAGGTTTTCAATGGTGGCGTGATGGCCATGGCAGTTTTCTTAGGAACAAATTGGGTTGGGCCGAGGACCCGACCCGGTCCAGAGAGAAAACTGGGAGCTCAAACCTTAAATCTTGTAGCTCTTCATCCTTTCTCTTCTTTGTTGCACATTTTCGTCTTTCTACTTTTTCTTCGTGCTTCTACATCGTGCCAAGATCGTCGTTTTGCTTCATCTTTGTGCTTATTGTTTAATTTGTTTTGTCTTGTCATTGTTTTTTGGGTCAAGGTTGGGGGTTCAGGTGGCTATAATCTATTCCATTTTGGAGTGTAATTCCCACCGGGGTGTATGATTACAATTTTGGAGCATTTTGTTAAATTCATCTTGTCTTTAAAATCGATCAAATACCAGTTTCAAATATCTTTTGTCTCCAAATTTTTATAGTAGCCAGCCTAATGAATCATTCTAACATCCAAGCCTTTCTATTGTCCAGTTCCAGCAATGTATATTGATTTATACTTCTGTCTAAGATTGATAAATGGGGTTCATTTTGTCTCCTTGGTTACTAGGATGGCACATGTATGCCAATTTCCTTTTTCTAAATAAGCACACTGATGTAAATAAGAGTTTGATGATTCTATTGCATAATGATGCCGTATTTCATGTAAAGTATATTTAAGATTTATAACTGTACTAAAAATTTGTCTTCATTAAATCATGGGAGCTTTTGCATCTTTTTTTAACAATTTCTTTTGCAGGTCTGCTTATTGTGATGCTTAGCTGCCACCTGAAAACTTAAGAGAATTCTTGCCTCATCTTATTCCAATAAACCAAATTATATGAATTTTCTTCTATAATTGTTTTACCATGTATGATTTGGAATTTGAAGTTTGTTTGTTGCATGTATGTAGGTTTTGTTGTCAAACATGGCCTATGCAGATGATGATGAATCACTTATTGAAGCTGAGGTTTTCTTTTGGATTATTTAGTCTTTGTATTTCAATTAATTCTTGTTTATTTGGCTTCATTTATTTGTACAATGTTTTTTCCTGGAAGATGGTTCTCAACCTGATCGAGACCAGGTCTGGTTGTTTTTAGGTTGACTTACTGGATTTTCTTTAGTTTCAGACAATCATATTTCTAATTTTCTGTTTTTTGCAATGTTGGACATTAAACCTCGGTTTCATGGATCAGATGAAGTAGAAGAGGACGTATGTTGTATTTGCTCTATTGATTGTTTACTCAAGTTATTTGATTAACATTTTGTCTTTATATACTAGAGTTTGCGTAGCTTTTGACAGCTGAAATGGTAAAAAAATTGCTTTGCTAATCTAAAATCAAATTTTACTTTTCATATTTACAGGATGATGATGTTGTCAACACATGGAATTTACGGAAATGCAGTGTGCTCTAGATATTCTTTCAAATGTTTTTGGAGATGAGATCCTTCCGACTTTGATGCCTATTGTTGAGGTGATTTAAGCTTCTTGTGGTCATTTTGTAATGAAGTTCTAATTATCATATTGGCTACTCTTGCGCTATATTAATTCAAAGGTAGTCTGCATGCATAATGATAGTGGATCGAACATAAGTGTGTTTATAGAAGACATCTGTGAAAACTATTATATGATGCTAATTTCCCCATGAACTCTTGCCTTCTTTTGTGAGAAAATAATAAAATTTCTGAAAATGTGTGCAGCCTAAGCTGTCTACTGGTGGGGATGATGCTTGGAAAGAAAGGGAAGCTGCTGTCTTGGCTCTTGGTGCCATAGGGGAGGGCTGTATCAACGGTGTTTACCCTCATCTGTTGGAGGTATTTTCTATTCTTTGATTGTGATGACTTTTATCGGAGAGCAGATTGCTTAAGTGTGGGAAAAGTAGTTTGTTTATTCATACCCCATAATACTTTGTGAAAATATTGTTCTTTTGTCCTTGTAATAATGTATTCATGCTTATGTTCAATTATACAATCACTGTCACATACTTATAACACCTTTCTGGATGAGTTATAATTTCAAATTCATGCTGAAAGATGTAGTGTTTCTTTCACATGATTTTGTTAGTCTTTTAGTCACTGCCACTCTTATTTTGTTGAGTCTGGTTTTATTATCCACTTTATTTGTTTCTTATGTTTACTCATTTGTCATTACAGTTCTTTCCTTTTTATATTTAAATGCTGTTTAGCCCTTATTTCTTACTGACTGATTCAGAATATTAAACAATTCATTGTTCTGCATTTATAGACTCTGGCATTTCTTATCCCTCTTCTTATTGTTCAGGTATGAACCCATTTTTGTTTTCTTCTCTGCTATTGCATACCAATGATTTTTTTTGGCACTTTTCCTCTCAAAGTTTATACTTTTGAAGATTACAATGTCTTAAAAAATCATGACAAAATAAAATCCAAAAAACTTTCAAATTCCTAATTATTAAAATCCCCAATATCTTCCCAAATTACTATTATATACGTTATTAGTAATTAGTATATATTACCAATTTATAAATAGTCCATTTTCCTGACATTCTTTTAATGGATTACTTTGATATGCTCTGTTCCTTTTACATTCATGCATTTAATATTCTGATTTGAGCTTCTATAAGTTATAACTTATAAATGCATATGGATCACAGTCTATTAACATAAGTGGAAATCAAAATCAATCTCATTCTTATACCAACAAAAAAGCCATAGGGTGAATAGTTCACAAAAATCATCAATGAGTTGAAGCCTTGCCATGCATATTGTGCTTACAAAATTTGGCATCCTTGATCAGCATCATAATTAGTTAGTACTAAATGGTTGATTGATCAAAATCACTTTTTATGAGTAGTTCTTAGTTAGTTGCAAAATCTTGCATCAGTCTTGAAGGATCTTTAATCCATTGGAAATTTGGAATATTGTAGGTTGTCCAGAGTACTGGAAATTGACAAAACCAGAGCAAATATTATTAATAACATATATACGCACTTACATATAATTTAGTGATTCATATTTTGTTATTGTGCAGTTTGTTCCATAAATTTGGTTTAGAGGTCGTCTTGTTTGATTTTTGTGTACCTTAGGGTATTGGGCATCCTAAAGGCTATGAACAATTTGACAATGTTCTTATGGATCTTATACGGAGAATTTGGATGATAATAAGGGTGTCCAAGAGGCTGCTTGCTCAGCTTTCGCTCCACTGGAAGAGATTCTGATTACAATTTCTGTTCATTTATCCTGAATGAATTGACTCAATTACTTCATTTATTTTAAATTTATAATATACATTTCAAATTTGGTTTACTTATGATAGGAGGTTGCTGAAGAGTTGGCACCACATTTGGAAATTATATTGAAGCACCTGATGATTGCTTTTGGGAAATATTAGGTGATTTCATGTCACTGATACGTAATATCTTTCTATGTTTTTTGTTAAATGTTACTATACTGTGCTATGCTACTTCTGATCACATGTGTGCTCAAACATTTTTAGTTCTAGCTTTTTGTTCTTAACTTCAGAGGCGAAACCTCAGGATTGTATATGATGCTATTGGGACTCTTGCTGAAGCTGTTGGAGGCAAGCTGAATCAAGTATGTTATTTTAAATAATAGTCCATGATAGAACAATCAACCTTCTTCCCCAACTTATAAAGTTTTCTGCCCTTTCCAAGTTATCTGTCATATTGACATTTTCTCTCTTTTGTTTCAAACCAATTATATCTCCTTGCTTTGCAGCCTGTTTATTTTGACATTCTTATGCCACCATTAATTGAGAAGTGGCAACAACTTTCAAATTCAGACAAAGATCTTTTCCACTCCTGGAATGCTTTACATCTACAGCACATGTACGCATATCAGTTTTTCCAATGTACTGTATATATAAAAAATGTTTCTTGTCTATGTTGTTAGTTACTTTTATAACAACTATTATAAACATGCATGTTTGAACTTTGAATATGAAAGTGCTGGCAGACGTGTGATCTCCAGGTTGTTCTTTGATCAATAGATTCGCAGTTTATGGGGCAGACTTGAATGCATATCAGTTTTTCCAATGTTTAGTTGAAGATTAAAAATTGTTGAGCTGGCAATGTGCAGTAGTTTTCTCTTGACAATGTTAGCACCATGCGGAAGACGCCTGTCTAAGCATCTTGAAAATTAGACTTAATTTGATGTTGCTGAAATGCATCCTATTTTCAAATTGCTTGAAAGTTATGGCTGAACTTGATACAGCTTAGGTGATTCTAGTTATGTTGCTAAGTTGACTAATATGTTGGAACATGGTCCATTTAATTCTGAAGGCTAGGTTTTTCTGTTTGTAGCTCTTTATTAATTTCTCCTTATTTGTTAAACTCGACAATTAATTCATTCCAACTAAAAGTTTTATTTCATATTTTTCATTTAAATTAAGGCTTAGTTATGTTTTTGGTCTCTATAAATATGAAGTATTTTGTGATAAGTCCTTATAAAATTTTTTTTAGGATTTAGTCCCTAAAAAGTTAAAAATGGGGTTGAGAGAACAGTGGGGGTTGGGGGACCTATCTATCATTTGGAATGTTTATATGGACTGCATCTGTATCATCTTATGTATTTTCTTGCTCCTGATGTGGTATTTTGGTGTTCAATTTGTAACAGGGTTCTGATTTTAGGAGGTGGATAAATATAATCCAGACCCAACAATTTGCAAAGGTTCTGATTACTTTTACTACATGATCTTTTAAAATTTAGTTTGGCTTATATCTTTGTAGAAAACCCAACGATTCGTAACATTTTGTTGTTTTCTAGGTGTTGCCTGTTGTTTCATTTGTCACCCTGTTAACTCTACATGTTTTTTCCGTTCTGTAATCTCACATTCCAAAGACAGTCTATCATGTGTCTAGATATTAGTAAAAATAGTGTTGAAACGGTTTTAGGTATAGAGATAGAAAAATCGGAGAATAGAGACTGAATACTTTAAAATTCTTATTGACTTGATATGATGAGTTGTAGTACAATGTGATGATAAACCTAAAGTGTTAACCCTTATTTGAACAAATCATAATTCATTTGGACAAATGGAAACTAAGAAATAGGGAAACCAAATTATAAGAAATAATTTCTAAGTAGTCTTGGATAGGAAATTGATTCTATCTGATATTCCAACAGTCAGTGTGAACTAATCACCTTATTTTATTACTGCTAGAATGTGCTGTTATCCCTTCTGTATGTCTATCTTCTATTTGACCACTCTAGCTCTACTACTACTGGGACTATATTTGTAGATGGATCTCTGAAATACATAAAACCTAAAATTATCAAACATTATTATGATGTTTATGTGCTTATATTTATTACTATTTATCGTATTTGAACTAAAAGAATCATTTTCTTGACCTTATTTATGATTTGTCTGACAGACTAAATTACTAGTTGAGGCTGATTGTGAGATTTTATTTTATTTATAAACAAATTGAGTGTACGTTCTATCAAGGGTTATGCTAGCAATTTTGTCACAAAGCTGAAAGAACACTAACTAGTAAGTGTATTAAGTAGTTGTATCAAGTAATAAAATTTGGAATTCATTTGAGTACCAAGTATTGTCCTCAGAGATTAGTTCTATCAATTACCACTTCACAAATTAATAACTAGTTGAGCCAAACGAATATTGGACATGTTTTGAATCATTTGAGAACAAAAGCAATAAAGTGTAGAAATCAGAAAATAACAGCAAAATAGAGTGACGAATTTAGAAATAAAATGATGGTGAATGGAGTTAGGACTTATTTCACCTCTTTATCAATTACAAAACTGAATAAGATCTAAACTATAAGTTCCTTAATTGATTGATAATCAATTTCACTTATTTAATCAAAGGACAATCCCTTGCCTCAATGATAGGAGCCACGCGCAACTTGTTTTGCTAGGATTCTCTCTGGAACGATCACTTTTATTGACAAAAGTAGCAACGCTTTGATCATGTGCGTGTTCACTTTTCTTAACAATAGTGATCACGTGCAACTTATTCCTTCTAACCAGACTTGTGCGTGTTCACTTTTCTTCATAATAATGATCACGCGCAACTGATTCTTCTTACCCCAGTTCTGGAACAATCACTATTATTTGTAATAGTGATAAAACAGAGCCTTTTTTCCTGAGTGTGGTTACTATTGTTAGAAAAAGTGTTAATGTGCAGGTTAGCTTCTAAACTTAAGCTCTAGAGTGATCACTTTCCTTGCAAAAAGTAGTAACGCTCAGCACTTAGCTTCATTATTCTTTGCTCTTTGTAAGCTCAAATCTTCTACTTTATTCTATTTTCTCTTCTTCAATCCTTATCCTCAAGATTCTTAGTTTAGAATCTCATGCAAAACTAACAAAATTACATTAGAATTCTATTAAATTTACACAATTTGAACTACTAAAGACAACAATTTACTTTTTTGTACAGTTTTCATTTTCTAAATTACATTTTCTATGAAAAATAACCTAGAAAATTACTTAAAAACCTAGTAAAATCTGCATTTATCAATTTTAGCTTTTGGGATATCACCTTGAGAATGTAAATGGTATTGATCACACGTAAACATCAGATTGTGTTCAAAGCATTGTCTCATTGGAGATGAAAGTCCACTGTCTTATGATTATGATCTTAGATAATACCTGTGAAAAAACTTATCATACTGTAAAGTCTGTCTTACTTTACATATTTATTAACTTGTTTGTCACAAACATCCAATTTGGTTAGTTTTCTTTTGTAAACTGGTCAAGGGTTATGCTAGCAATCTTGTATCTATCTATATGTATGTATGTATGCTATAGAGATGCTGTGTAATGGAGCGTGGTAGCAATGTATGTCTGCTTTGGAGCCTCCAGTGAAAGAAAAGCTTTCAAAATATCAAGTATAATTTGATTGTGTGAGCTTTATATCTGCATTGGCCTTGGTCATTTTGTGTGTCGTCAAGCAATATTGGAGTCACCATTGATTCTTATTAAGCAGGTGCCTAGTCTCGGTCTAAGTTTTCAGTCAGGGGTACCAGTACTTGTACAAATCGTTTGAGCTTGATGATTGCAGGCAGTTCCTCAGGCCTTCAAAATCTCATTTGATGGAGTTTCCCATGAGAAATGTACAGGGGAAGGACTTTCAACCTTTGAAAATGCTTGACACTTTGTTGTCTTTATAGTTAAAAGACTTAAATAAAGGCTAGGAATTTTATTCGACCCTTGTGTTCATGTCACATTTTTCCAATATATCTAGATTTTTTGAATTGGTTACACAGTTTTGTACCACCAAAGAGAGAGAGGAGGGAGAAAAAAAAAGGAAGCAGGGGGGAGTATGATCTGACTCGTAGTTTCTTACGTATTCAGTTTAATTACTTGTACGTTGTAACTTAACTGAAGACCGATTTCAGCTATAATACGTGTTGCCTTAGGCAGCGCATCATTTGAATTTTGATTGAAACAAAAAATAAATGAACATATGTATATTTCGTTTACTATTTTTCTACTATTGTTGACATTATTTCTTACGGGTTATGCAGTCAATGCCCCTTATCTTAATAATAGTAAAAATATTAAGAATGTCAACGGGCAGTGTGAGCACGGATAAATATGTATTAAGTTTAAGCATATACCGAAAGAACCAGAAAATAAGAATATTTTAACAATTTTAAGTATATAGGTATCCACGGATATGAATACCATAAGGTAGAAAAAAACTCATTTAATCAAACCTTTGCATGTCTAAAGATGGACATAATTTTACCATTTCTAGTTAATATTTATAGTTGCTATAATTATGATGAGATTAATTTTAATTTAACGTAGATCTAAATTGATATCAATGGATGTCGTGTATGCAGTTTGTATAAAATATTTAAATATGATAAAATAAAATTGTATGGTTATATAATAGATTTATAACCGTGGATTAATTTTATCTGATTAACAGTGGAAGTAGACGTTCGGATGTTACGAGATGGATTATGCCTAATACAAATGTAGTCTGATATTTTGACGAAGTTACTTTTTAAGGCTCAATTTTTATTTGTAATGGCTCGACTAATTATCTTTTTGATGTTGGATCAATTCAACATTTAGATCAAATGCATACCTTATAAAATTTTAGAAGTTAATAAGAGTGGATTTTTTTTTTCTTAATTCATTGTATATAGTAATGTTTTTCTTAGTAACTTTAAGCTACCTACGGGATATATTTTGTTTGCGTCCTAAATATTTGCAACTTAAATTAGGGATGTTCAAATTAAATTATTTTCAAATTACTAAATTAATTCAAAAATAAAAATGATTGAATAAATTTGAAAAAAAAAACACATTTTACATTTCAAGTTCAAATTTTTGTTCTACTAACTAAAATAAAACCAAACCAAATTGAACCGCACCTAAATTGCATTAATATTAATTTTCTATTATATTTGTATATTAAAAATATTTTCTTTATCTTATAAAATTGTATACATGTAATTAGGTACAACATTTCTCTATGTTCTCACTTGTCTCAATCGATTATGCTTTTTTTTTTCCTCTTTTGTATAAAAAAATTATTCTCACATTTTTACCCTTTTAATTAATATCTCTCTTTTTCTTTTTTAACAAACATTCTTTGATTAAGCTACTCTTTAGTCTAAATTTAAAATTAAATTAAAATTTTAAAAATAAATAAATAACCAATCCAAACTAAATCATGAAATATTATATTAGTTTTGTTCTACTTTGATATTACATTCAAATTACATACTATTTTTTGTGTTTAGTTTAGTTGAATTTTTAAATGAAAATTGAATGAAACTGAACCACTAACGTCCATAATTTAAAAATA